TTGAAGCCAGCACCGATTGTTTCAAACTGCGAAACATTATCCACTAAAACGCTAGGTCTATGCTTGCTTACCAATAAGCAACGAGCTGAATTCGCGTTCATCAAGAAATTCATACAATCTGAAATTTTCGACTTCAGCACTAAGCTAATCATACCATGATTATTCTACTGTATGCCTATTCAGTATACATACATAAATACTTCAGAGCATAGTAATGGACATAAATTATAAGTCATTGGGGCTGACAATATTCTGTAGAATTATTACTGATGAAAATGCTACCGATAGAGCATCATCGGTAGTTCAACTGTGCTTGTGGAGCAAGTTATACTGACTGTTGATCTAGGAACTTGATTTTCGGGAACACCTACCATTGTGTGGTTAAATAAGGATGTTGTGAGAAGTATCAATAGCTCTATATTAGAACGCCTGGTCCCAACCGTCCACAAAGCCAATCAGCATTGAAGCATCCTTCTGTATCATCTACCTGGTACCAAATAAATTGCCAGAAATGTATCCAGGTACCGTATGATCCAAACAACAGAGGGTATTGCGATTCGCCTTAAACAACCGGTGCTCTGGGTGCAGAAGAAACAAGTCCAGCCAAGAAACATTACTTCTGCCCTGGTCTTCAGTGGAGACGATAAATTCATGAATTTGTATTATCACTTTTTCTAATTTTTATGATAGTCAGTGTGTATTTTTATTTTGATGCTATCGAACTGTAATCCACTGATATTATTATTTGGCAAAAGAATGGATACTGAACAAAGAGTACTCTTTTTGATAACCCCTTCATCATCAGGCTCTACAGTTATAGCGAATGAATGAATTAGTGTTATGAACAACATTCATGTTGTTTAAATAACATCGAATCAATAATATTGATAGATTAACAGCTCAATAGCATCAACATAAAATAAGCTGAATGTCAGAAAAATTAGGAAAGATAATAATACAAATTTATGAATTTATAGTCTCTACCGAAGGCCAAGGCAGTAGTAGGGGCTAGCTGGACTTGCTTCTTTTGCACACAAAGCACTGGTTGTTTGAGGCGAATTGCAATAGCCTCTGCTGTTTGGAACGTGTGGTGCTTCGAGGATTTTGGCAATTTGATAGGCACCTGGTAGATTATAGAGACGGATTCTTCCACGCTGGCTGGCTTTATGGCCGATTTGCATCAGATGGTCCAGTATCGAACTGTTAACCGTTTTAACTACACCTTTACTTAGCCATAGTGGGAGATGTTCTCTAGCGAGAACGAAAAATCAAGTTCCTAGAGCAACGGCCAATATAACTCGCTCCACCAACAGCGCAGTTGAATTGGTAGATACAATTTGAAGTAGCTAGTCTAGTTTAGGTACTTCATCTTTCAGTCGAGGTAGCACCATCGGTAGTGTAGAGAATAAGACGTGTAGTTCGCCAGCATTAAAAGTTCTTTGAACCGTTTTTCTTAATTTCTTCGTAATTATCTCACTTGGTATATCGCCCTTGAATTGTAGTCGTATATAAAGAGGCTTCTTGTTTACAGACAGTGATATTGGATGTTATACTCGATGCTATTTAAACACTAATAATGTTGTAAATGACCCTAATTCATTCACTACTATGGATGGATATACAACTGTAGAACTTGATGAAGAAGGCATTATCAAAAAGAGTATCCTTTTTCCAGGAACCATTCTTAGGAGAAAAAAATTTTAATGGGCATTTTTAATCAGTTATCGATTGCTAATTTTGGCCAACATTATTTTAGTTTTTGCAGTTAAGTAAGTAATCATCCAGTGATTGATTCCCGTTACTCACTTCATTTGTAACAGTCAGTATATACGGAGATTTATGGTAGAACACGATGATTTCCTATATAGTTTCACTATCCAACTTACAGTCTATATCATACAACACTTCTGATTTTTTAGGTGTCTTGTACAGTCGGAATAATTCAACGTATAACCATTTCGAGGCCTAGATTATTGATTGTCTGTTAATTTGGTTAATCTTGGCTCATTACGCAATCGTTATATGCCTTTACACGAGGGAATTTTCTCCCTTCATTTCTCTGTATCGACAGTAAACTGTTCCATTTTTGAGGATTTCATCATGAGGTGACTGATGTCAGCTCTTCATCAGTACGCACCCACCAGTGGGTCCCAAACCACGATGGAGTAAACAGCTCCCAAGTACTCCCAGATAGTTTTCAGATGGTTCTCTAACTGATGTCAGCTCATGATGAACCAATCAAACAAACAAAAATCCCCACACAACTATTACTTGAAAATATCCCATTTTTCACTAACTTACTAAAAAGTAATATACTCTAACTAGAGATTTCAGTTCAGAAAGTGTAATGATTAAGAGAAATTCAAAATTTAGAATATTTCCCCAGTATTATGCCTCTTTTTTTTGAGTGAGAAATATCTTAAACATATCTGAGCTATTGAAAACTAGGTAGTGTTAGACGCTGGTTTCGTACTAGTTTGGGATTATTCAGAAGTATGCATGCATGTCCCCACCAACAGGTGCTGAAACCAGAACCTTTAGGTTAGCAGGTAAGCCCACTATCTTCCTTGAGTGTGACAGCCACTTCTCAACTTCCCTCTCCGAAATCGAACCCTAATTCTCTTTTGTCTGTTATTATCATGATAAGCAGATAGACTACCAACAAATTGATGGGGCAGGCATTTGAAGAATTATCCAGAATCAGAATAGAATTCAACAGATACACTCGAAACTACCTCTGTCCTAATTAGTCTACCTGTCTCCTTGATTATGAGCAATAAATCATGCTCGAAGTGTCATCTAGCAGATAATTCGATTAACCAGTCATTCAATGGCATATGACTCGATGGCCTACGATTTGTAACTTCAGGCACTTCACTATATATATAGCGTGGCCATCAGGCAATATCAACGGCGAGTATTTGTCTTCACACGCAACTCGACGAACCCCGTTGGTCACGACGCTTTATCAGAACTTAAAGCAACTATGCATCGGTGGCACAGTGGTTAGGACTCTCGCTGATCATGCATATGGTCCGATGTTCGATCCCCTGTCGACGCACACCTGATATCTAGGGTCGGCTTGCAAAATTTGGGCTACCGATATCCATGCTGAAAATTCCATACTTGTACTAAAAATACAGTGTGGAATCAAGCTGTAATGAAAAATAAAAAATCATCTTTTATTCAGTCACTGATGAACACCGGATTCATTTTCATGCTTTGATTTGCAAGGATACAGTTGATTTCAAGTTTCCTGAAGAGTCACAAACTAATAACAATAATAACAATTTCGCTTTATTCCAGAAACAGTACTTGTGGTACAGTGTGGAATTTTCAGCACATATCTACAATATTGCATCTAATTTCATCGTACATTTAAAAGAAGTATTATAAAAAAAATAAAATATTTTAAAAAAACAAAAAAAAAACAATAACAACAAAAAACGAAAAAAGAAACACAGAAATAACAAAAAAATGCAATAAAAATACCAAGTAAAAAGGAAGATAAACACAAATAATGAAAAAATATTTCAGTATTGGTTAGTGGAAGCTACGATATGAGTATGCGTGGTGAACAGTAACAGCTATAATCATACGGGAAATTATGAGATGTTCTTAAAAAAAAAATGTTTATAGCTAAGATGATCAGTTAATTTGATTGAACAACACTAAGCAATCATAAGATAAACATTTCAGGTTGTGTTTTTTTTATTGTCAGCACTAATGCAGTGTTTGTAGTGGTAGTGTGAGGAATCATGCATAATACAAAATTTTTTAAGATGGTGATAGTGGCGTTCACAAACAAGATTGTCAGTTAAATAGTGCCGAACAAAGAACAACCACAAAACTCATGTTACATGATGGTTAATGACAGGACAATTTTGTAATACTCATAGTGCTAATTTGGTCGGAACCAGTAGATACACAAAAGAAGGAATGGAGTAAAGTACAAAAAAGTAAGCCAATGATAATAATTTTAGGTAGCTAAGTATGTTTAAGAAGGTTGTTCGCTATAGAGTACAAATAAGAGAGCATAAGGGGGAAATAAAAGGGCCAAAATTATGTTATTAACAACAAAGAAAGTCATAGGTTTCGCGCTTAACACTGCCTCTGTCACTTAGAACACGGGCCAAATATGGTATCGTTGAGCTCCTGTACTTGGCTGTACGAGCATATATTATTTTGTACTGATTTCTGGTTCTACCTGATGAGATGCAAGGAGAGAGTTGGGAATAGAGGGAGTGTTGGCAGTCAGCGAGTATGGTTTTAGACCATTTCTCACATGTATTCAGATGCTTATCCACTAATGTTGTGACGAGCTGACTGAGTTTTACACCGCTAGTCCTACTAACTACCTTCAACATCCTTCTCAGGATGGTATAATCCTTTTTCAGTAACCCAGGAAAGACTAACGGGGAGGAAACAGCCTACGAGTACACCCTGGTGGCCAGATTTGAAATCAATCGAATATCTATAGCCTAATGCTTGAAAATTATTTGAACATATTAGAAATAGTGAAAGAGTAAGGGGAAGTCTTTGAAAGTGCACTGTTTAATTCATATTTTAAAAGATTTACGAAATTATTTATATCAGTCCTTATGATCAACGATCTAGTGAACTCATATGTGCAATATGTACCGTTAGAAAGGCGTGTGTCATATGTGAAAATGTAAACACTGTTCACCGTCTCTCTCTCTCTCCTGGAAAACTTGAGTTTCCACATAACATTTTAATCACCCTCCTGTCTCTCTCTCTCTAATTTTCTCATAGTTTTCTTATTTCAACCAATAAGAATGATCCACTTAAAAGAAAAAAATGATACACATCCACTTCCCTTATATCTAATCGAGAAATGGGGTAGGGGTGGAGATAGACTGAAATTAACCATTGGCGTCCAATTAGAATAGGCGAAAATTGTAGTCACATATTGGCCAATCAAATTAAAAGGCTTGTTTTACACGATTTAAATAAATACTGCTATGAATTACCATAACAGCATATATATACATCGGGAATACAACTACAGAGATTGTTACTTCTATTCATATTGTGGATCTTTGTTATTTTTTAAATTAATAAATCAGCGCTGGATTTTATCAATGACTACTCCAGATGATATTCGAGTAAGTGGAACATATTTTTTGGGTAATATATTATTCATTACATGTGTTTTAAAAAGTAAAAATTAAATGGTTCATGTAACTTGTAGCATTAAATGTCAGTTGTACAAGAATTTTAAACATAGTTCTTACACGTCTATTTGGAATTCACTCACTAAAGCAAGATTATGCCATTTAGTACTTATTTAGGGTAATTACAAGTAAAATTGATCGAATCATGTAGAATTCTTATATTTGTAACTGTATGTCATGAAATTTTTACTTAAATATGCCTTTCATTCATAAAGGATTCATATTAGTAGGTTTTTTTCTTTTTCGTCAAGCGTAGAACATAAGATTTGAATCTTTGACCTTTGAGGTTCTAGAGTAGCAGTAATGTTCCTTCTTGTTTTCATAGGGAGGGAGGGTAAAGTTGCTAGCCTCACATGCCCAAACTTCTCGCTTCTCACAGGTTTAATACTTCTTAAGTGATGTTTAAGAGTGAGTCGATGGTAAGGAATCATTCCCTTGGACCACGTGTTTGATTTGTAAAGCATTAAAAATTTCCCAAGGGAATATTTCTTATTAAGCCTTATACTACTTATAAGTAGGCCAGGTAGAAAAGTATAATTTACAGACGGTTAAACTTCACTAATGTGGTATAACACTTTTATGGGCTTTGAACACAAAATAATTTGCCTGTGTGAATAATTACGGACTAGACGGAATATAAAACGCCTTAGGGAATCTTAACCATAGTGATTCAAGGGTACAGTATGTTTGATTTCTACGTGACTTTCTAGTTTCCTTTGACTGTTCAGTTTAGATTCTGTCAAATATAAAGTTGATGTATTAAACATGTATACCTATATAGAAAGACAGGTATCACAATAGTTCCCACGTATTATTACCTTAGAGATGCGTGTTGTTTTCACTCCGTTTTGATAACCCTATTGTGAAGTATACATAAGTGTCTGATATATGAATCCCATAAATAAGAATTTATCTGTCAAACCTAACATGGTATTTTACAACTCTCTATCCAAATTTAAATTAATATTGAATGATATGTTGAATTATGTGAAAGACACAGTTAAACTATAGCAGCCACCCCGGGACCAGACGTTTGAAAACTGCTTAGATTTGTAGATGATATAAAAAACCAAATTAAGCTTTAGTGCACTGGATTTTGCTCAACATACAAGCCTCAGGAGGATAATTCGTCCTTTTGGAAAGATCGGGATTTTAGAGGAGATTGATTGAATAGACCTCAGAACATCATGATCTATGGTCGGCATTTTAAACAACTTCGCGACTTCTATTTCCTTTTATTTTGATCAGATGCTCAAAATTGGTGGTAAGGTCGATCGAGTGGTTGGCATAGCTTAAATTCGCCCATGAAACCTTTGTGAGAGGGTTGCATTACCAGTCCTCAGCAGATAAAGGGTATTTTTGATGTTTTAAAGGTAACGGTCACAAAACAAATTCGTTTAAAGAAGAACTGAAGTACCATATAGTACCATATTAGTTTTTTGCAATTACTGTCCCTTCTATTAATTGATTTCATGTCTGTCAGACTGTTTCGTATCCCTTGAAACTCATCACTTTCTTAATTTTCCGTTTATATTTGTTTTTTTTTAAATTAGTCACGAATGTTACACAGAGCTTCTCGACTAATCAGTGGAATACGTAATGAAGAAGCCTGGCATTTAATTGGTCTATTTCAACAAACTCATCCAAATACCTTTCTACAAATATGTCATCATACATTGGCATCATTTCTAGAATTAACACATGATTATTTTGATCAAGGTTGGCCATTAATGACTCGTTTAATGATATCAAATCATAAACGTGCTGAACATCGTCGAGGACGTTTACGCTCTCATGCTGCTGCAATCAGTAGTACAAGTAAAATTAATGTACATGAAGTATTTGAATCACCAATTGGTAGTCCGCTGTTTCTATCAAATACTACTGATCGGTTAACAACATGCCCATCTTTAATATTGTCTAATTCAAAATCATCAGATGATCAATCGAAAAAGATGAAAATAAAAACTGGTAGTAAACGTATCCTTAATCAACTTCTACCATCAATGTTTCCATTACCTACCAATGATAGTAATAATAATACTGCAACGAAATCAGCACGTTTTGATGTAACACCTACAAAACAATCCAGTCGATCACATTCAAAGACAAGTAAGTGTAATATATATTGATTATTGAAAACGTGTTCGTAGTTGTGTTTGTCTAATGTGTCGCTTTAATATGTTCTGCGAAATACACTGAGCTGAAGAGTACTGGATAAACACTCTAGAATCTTATCTAATTCATATGAGATTGATAGTTATATTATTATTATTGTTATTATGATAGTTTCCTTTAATTCCTAGAGGTACATAGGGCTTCAGCCGCGCGTCTCCATTGCTTTCGGTTCTCTGCTAGAGTTTTCACCTGGCTGCTAGTCTGCCTACATACTTTCATCTCCTCTTCACATGACCTCTTCCAAGTCGCCCTTGCATTGACGACCAGCTCGCCACTCCCCTTTCGGGTTCCACTCGAGAGACTGTCTAGTGATGTCACTCAGCATATAGCCAATCCATCTCCATTTCTTCCTGCCTATTTGTTGCACAATCAGTTCCTGGTTTGTTGGTTCGCTCATTGCCAGAGATCCCTGTTTCTGATCTTTTCTGGCCAGCCATCTGATCTTGAAAGAAGTATTGAGCGAAGACAGCTTTTGATGAAGGTCTGTAGCTTGTTTGAGGTGCTCTTCATGACTAGGCGCCAAGTCTGTGATCCGTACAGTGAGTAGCGCTGACTTCACATTGGAGTTGAAAATCCGGATTTTATCTTCATTTTCATGCTGAGTTCTGTTAATCTCCACATAGATTTGAGAGTAATGAAGGCTTGTCTTGCTTTATTTAACCGCTGAATAACTGTAATACGTTGTGTACTATGTGCTGTAGACGGAGGAGGGCTTATAACTTTTATCAATTTTTTTTAAAAGCTAAAATTATTCGACATTCAAAAATCCCAAGGTATCTGCTAATGGGTACATAGAACTCAAGATGACGCTAATGAGTTACTTTCACCATATAACAATATGAAGTGTACTGCAGATGTCAAGTATTTGGGTGAGACTTTACTCTGATGCATGCAAGAAGTCAGAGCACTGTGTCCTTTGGTTAACATGGTCGATGGTTATGTAGCCGAAGACAACTCATCATCAATCTTGAAATCAGTCAAATCCTTGCACACTCACATTCGAAAATCAATCTAATGCCCATGAATGATTGATTAACTATAAAAAGAAGTTATTAGAAGCTCTAGTGGGAAATCATGACAAATGGGGTTCACCAATTCGACTGTGAGGACTCACAGTGGTTGAACCTGAAGGTCTTGGGTTCAACCCCTGGGGGTACGTGCTGATGAAGAGTCCCAAGCTAGGACGAAACAGTTGTCTAATAATTCAGCTCTTGACCAAACCTGTAAAATTGATTTTGACTAAGAAATGGCTTGTTCTCCTCTTGTTTTTCAATCGTTCCACTTCATTGCTTACACGCATATACTGTACATGTGCCTAAATTGGGTAATTTGACGAATTTTTTCCATCGTTTGTCTACGAAATTTGATAAAATAACATTCGTCATCAAAATCATTATGATTATTATCTGTCAATTTATTTTTACTTGTGTTGATAATAATTGTAGTAGGGAGAATTTTCTAGCTTGACCTGAAGATTTGTCATAACTCCTCGTTATTTGTGTGTGTGTGTGTGTGTAAATATATATATATATGTGCGTGGGTGTGTTTCAGTTTACAGGTCACTATTCACAGACATGTAAATTTTTTTTGTTTTGTTTTTTGGCCTTTTTTAAATTATAGAATCCTTCTTTAAACATGTTCAACCATTATTTTCCAAGTCAATAACGCCTAGTGAAACTGTCAATCGTCACTGCACCTATCCACCAGTTATGCTAAGATCGCATTTATCCCAATACAATTGGGATCTACCAATGACTACGAATTGGATAAATGATTATTCAGCTTATTGTACACGTTATTGTAATGTGGATTCAAAAATTTGTGCCACATTGATTGATTATATGATTACAAATTCAAGTAAGTAATATATAGATAGATATATAAAATTAGTCTAGTGTATGTAAGTATGGTACAGTAGTAGTACATTTTCTTTAAGTCTGTGCAGTATACCGTTGTAAACTGTCATCATTAGGTGAAGAACATGCATTCGAAAGTGTGTGTGTACGTGTGTTAGTTGTAGACAGATGTGTTTCTACGATGTAATTAAAAGACACAAAGAGATGGTAATTAACAACCACGTCTGGTTGTGCCATACATGCCTATAAAGCGTAGCTTTTAGTTGTACTTTGTACAATCATTTTTTACTGGTTTTTGATTAAAAACGTGCGAGGAAGAGCCAGTATACATGGTGTGCTTATTATATTACTATTATTACTACTGTTGTAGTTGTTGGTGGTGTTGGTTCTGTTTTTTTTTACAGAAGTGGTGAACATCTCAAACTCGTCAGTAGTGCCATAAAGTCACACACACACACACATGCCCCCCCCGCAAACACACTCGTACATACCTCAGCAGACAGACAGACAGTACTTACATCCATACATACCTGTACGTGCTTTTTTGTAGAATTACTGAAAGAATGGGGAGTGTCTAACTTACCAGTACTATAAAAAAGCATCTATCTATGAGAGAAAGTCTATAAAACAATCTAGAGATTATCTATCATACAGAGAGATTTATGAGTTTCCCTTATTTGTTGTTGTTGTTTTTTGTTTGTTTGTTTTTTACAAGGGGTAAATTTTGATAGATTATGATCATTTACATGAAGGGAGGGAATAGAGCAGAAAGTAAATTGATTCGAAAACAAAGAGTTGTTCATGTGGTCATTAGAATGATTGACTTTCATATACACGTGAGAATAAAGCTACTTACCACTAGACTAGTCACTTTGTAGACTACAGGCGTTCTTAATCAAAAGAAATATCAAGACTGTTTATTACAAGTTCTTTTTTTCAGTTTTCTTCAATCAAATCAATTCTCACTACCAAAAGAGTTAGTAACTGGTAGAAAAAACACACAACAACACCAACAACACGTAAATTGTCTGAGAAAAGTAATTCTACAGGTGTAGCTGAGTTTTTTTTTTGGCTTTCCTATATACCAAGTGAATGAACTATGACATCGTAGTGCTAACCAGGTATTCAGTTCATTGAAATCACCGAGCTCCCAGTTGAAACAATGAAGTAGTTCATAGCGGAACATAGGGCTTCAATAGCACATCTCTACTCCATTCTGTTCTCTGCAGTCGTCTTTACCCGGACACCATGATTGCCCGAAAGCTTTCATCTCTTCTTCATACGATCTCCGAGGGTGAGAGTCTACTCGACATTATCCTTGGGGAGTTTTGTTATCTAGAGGTCTTCTCAGTGTGTATCCAATTCATCGTCTAGTATATTTCTTGGTTAGTTCGTAGACCAAGTCCTTTATTGTTGTTAACCCACTTTTTTTGGTAGGTCAATCATCTGGTGTTCAGTGGGGAACAACAAAACAGGGGGAGGGGAAGGGGGAGGGGCGTAGTTGTTGATAAAAGTTTAAAGCTTATTGGAAACACTTTTAGTGATGTGAGTACCAAATATCTGAGCCATATAAAATAACTAACTCACTTGTTCTTTATTTTGATTACAGTAGATTTGCATACTTACTACAGATTAATAAAGGTCTGTTTTACCTTTGCAATCTTGACTGGATTTGACATTCTCAAATTAGCTGTCCAGTTAGGTCTTCTCTTGTCAGTTCAAACTATACTGATAGTCAGACTGTTTGAGGTGATGGATTCAAAACAATTGCTTTTGAGTTGTTAGCTCAGTGTATCATGTATTTGACCAGTCTGAATGCATTACATTTACTTCAGTTGATTATAAAAATATTGTTTATTTTAATGACATCATGGGAAATTCTGCTGTAAAAGTTTTTAAGTCCATTTGGATCAATGAACTTGTATGTGTATTCACTCAACTAATATACTTTTATAAAACATAAAATAATTGAGGAAAGAATATCCTTTCCGATAATTCCCTCTTCTCGCTCTACAATTATATGTAGAATATTCTAGAATAGTAGTCAATAACAATATTAGCGTTTTTTAAATAATATCGATTTGTAAAGTAAGATCACAATGGAATTACAGTTCATTAGAGATGCTTAAATAGTAAAAATAAACATATAGTAGCAAAGAGAATATCAACTGAAGTTAGGAAAATTCCACAAAATTAAGGATCATTCAAGGCAAGGATAATGTCTGGACTAAGTTCTTTTGGACGTATAAGTTAGCCTCCTTAATATGGATCCCAACAGCCAGCCTCAGAAATATTTAGTAAACGAACTCTTCAGGTGAAATTAAGATTTGTTGATATGCGGTAAATGACTCTGAAAGCCGCCTTGTTAACATCAATCTTGTCTTCTGTATTCACAAGATAAGATAGAATAGCGCTGTGAATAGATTTTGTTTGTCCTTTACTTAACTCACTATGCAGGGTGATGTTCAGAAATCCGATGGGAAACACGCCTAATTGTGCGGCCTATGTAACTAACTGGTTCACTCCACAGGAGCAGTTAAATTGGTAGATACACATGGAAGAGGGGAAATTAGGCAGTTTATCTTTTACTTCCGAACGCTTTGGCCATCTAGGTTTGAGTGATCCTTAATTTTTGTGGAAGTTTCCTAATTTTAGTTGATATTCTATTTGCTATTATATCTTTATTATTATTATTATTTATCTTACTTCGCAAATCGATATTATTTAAAAAAAACACTAGTATTGTTAATGACTACTATTCTAGAATATTCTACGTATAAAAAGTTGTACGTATAATTGTAGAGCCAGAAGAGGAAATTCTCGAAAAGGATATTCTTTACTCAATCATTTTTGTGTTTTATCGATGTCTGAATGAATATTTTCGTTATATTAATATAAATATACTTTTTTAAAATATTCTTTCAGAATTATGCCTAACTGAAGGTGTTTTCCGTATCCCTGGTAACAGTTTACGTATCCGTGAATTATGGCTGAAATTACACCAACATTTCCAATCACCATATCTTCGTGTACCCCAACCAGAACCAGATTCAGCAGATGAAAATCTTTCACCATACCCAGTAATTAATCAATATGAAATCAATCAAATACTCGAGAGTTATTCACCACATGATATATCAAGTCTTATTCTACGTTGTTTAACGACATGTACAGAGTTTCAACGTATTCATCAAGTGATAAATTTTGATACAGTTGACACAGTCAGCACTAGTGCTAGTTATGACACTTCAAGTGATTATCATGAGTGTTCTTTTAATGATGGCGAATATCAACAAACTGGTGGTTTAATCCCACTGGAGGCTGGAAATCTTTTATTCTTAGCCACTGAATTACAATATCAACTAAAGATCAATGAACCGAATCAATCACAACCAGATACAGTGAGCTATGACGACTGGGTGTATATTCTGTGTCATTCACGTCAACTGCTAGCTTATCGGATTGTCTTACAATTGTTGTTACCAACACCAGAAAGATTTTTACTCATGAATTTATTACGTCTATTCAAAGTGATTGATGAATCTAGTTCTATATCAAAAATGACAGCTGAATGCTTATCAAGGTGTACAGCATTTGCTGTGTTTGGTGCTCCTTTAAAAGTTAAACGATTCACATCGAATAAAGAGAAGGCTGGTTGTAATTTTGAATCATATACTAATTCGTTAACAAAACGTATAGATACTCTGACAAATTTAATTCGAATGGTTCATCAACTAGAAGATCTTCCAATGCTGATATATAATGCTGTAAGAAATCGACTTCGAACACATCTTGGTAATTCACCGATACCTAGAACAACTTCACATAATAATAATAATAATAATCAAAGTAATACTTTTGCTTCATCTATTGATCGATGTTGTGAGGATACATTGTGTTGTTCAATGAATTGTTCTTTAACATCAAGAAGAGAATTCATGAATACTGCACACCTGGTGAGTTGAAATATTTCTAAAAAATAAGAAATGCGCAGATGGTGTTAGTTATATGTATAGATCCAGCATTTAGTTACTGGATAGTAAACACTGTTGTGTTACCTGATGCCAACTACCTACCAAATTCATTTCTGGCAAAGATAGTTAGTTAAGTGTGTCGGTAGCACAGCGGTTAGGACGCTCGCCAACCATGCACATGGTTCGGAGTTCGATCCCCGACCAAAGATGCACTCCTTTACCTCACTAAGCCAGAAATAATGCTGGTAAAGAGGAAAGGTTGGGTATGAGGCTAGCAACCCCATCCTGCAAAATAAACACTACTACAGAAACTTCAAGCCACTAGCTTGAAGCCCTATATTTCACTGGGAACGTGAAGGAAAAAAAATATTTAAAGAACATTAACAGCTGCTCTATATACCTAATATGCATGGGCGAAAAGCAAGCAGCATGCAAGCTCCGTTAACGTAACAATAGAGCCTTATCTAGGACTGTACTTTCCCAGATTATTGTAGTGGATCAATTCATCTAAAAGTGGTGAAATCAAATCTGTTCCTGTAGTACAAGAAAACGTAGTTTTCACCTTCTTTGTTGTACCATTATCTCTTTTCATTTGTCCGGTCTATTCTTTGGTAACTCCACGTGTGTATATTATACCCGCCACTCATATCAACAGACTCCAAACTCATATTGAGGAATAACAGAAGTTAGAGTTAATGTGACGGCTGGTTTCTAATTCCATTTAAGTGGTTGTATAGTCTATGAGTTCGTCTTGTAACCTGAAGGTCGTGGATTCGATCCTTGGAGCTGGGATGAGTAACGTTGAAGAGTTCCCAACCAGGACGAAATAGTTGTCCTTTAACTAAAATCAATTCTTCATCAATCTTGAAATCAAATTCTTTACACTGATTTACCTTAATTTAAGGTGAACATAGACCACTGCTGGTGACTCAATGACATTCCTATGCTCCTTTTCAACAGAAACATGGTGAAGATCATTCATATATGTTTTATTAAAATAAGTTCACAAATAGATTACTCTATTCTGAACATTAAATATCCTAAATTAGTAATAGTGAGGTCATGTCCTAAATACAAAGTACTTAAAACAATAAAATGTAATATCAGAGTTTCTTTACCATGTTAACAAAGGTGTTAACATATTTCTAAGTGTGGTTAGGTTATGTATACTAACAAAATGTTCTCTTTGTGATTGTTTCGTTTCAGTAGATTGTAATCTCTCTCTTAATGGCAAAAAAAGTATTAAGGGGATGTAGAGACTTAGCGTGGACGTATACTATCCTGATTAATTTGTTAATTGGTGAGATTTTCATATTTATGGAAATCGCCACATTTGAATTCGTTTTTCAAGGATGGGTTTTCCAACGTCAATACAATTCTAAGATGTTCAGATTTGACGGCTATGACTATGATGGAGAAGATTTGAAGCTCAGGTGGATGATTTTTTGATGTAGTTGTGTTCTCTAAGCTGGGTGGTTTATTTGTGAAGCTTTCATTGCCCTACTAGGCAACATCCTCAACGCATACGTCAATTTGAAGTGGGCTTTTAGATTTCTCCGCGAATACTAATAAACTCCTGGTGAAATCAACAAATTGAAGTATGCGCTAAAGATGTCGCCTAGTATGGCGATGAAAGCTTCGCAAATTAACTATCCAACACAGAGAACATAACTACATCAAAAGACTATGACCATGTTTTCCAAAATTATGGAGAGTATGTTCTGTAATCTGAGGGGGTTATGTCTCTGTGTGTGTTTGTATGTGTGTAGATTTACAGAAACTTGATCACCATTATAAATAATCTAAAACCTTAATAATATTATTATTTCAAATTTCAGATTCCGTGTGAATCTATCACTCAGATATGCTCAAAAAATCAGTATCACTCATTGGGATCAATAAAAACAGATCATTCAAAAACTGGGAAAGAGAATTTCTCACGTAAAGATCCAAATCGTGTGCATATTCCACGTACAAAGTCAACTATTGATATCAATAAATCTACACCCATCCACCATCAGAAAGATTGTCAGAAAACAAGTCTACTTCAAACAACTCTTACCGTGAACAATACAAATCCGACGAAACTGGATCCATTTCAGCTATGGAAACGTCAGAAATCTGGTCAAGAAATACGATCCGCCTACATTAATTCTTCTTCAAATGTTTTCATCACAAAGTGTGGTTGTAGTCGTGGTGGCGATGATCATGACGATGAAAATGATAATCTTCCTACGAGTAGAGTACTTATCAAGTCAAGAAGTAGTTCATTCTTACAAGAATCACAAGGATTCAATACACAAACATGGTTACGAAAGTAAAGAGTTATGCCATTCTAAATATTCTTCAAAAATAAACAAATAAACAAAATACCTGTGATAGAAAATATTGTACACATTTATTTCATTCAAAGTAATAATTTCTTAATAATTTATCAAACATTAAACCTTTTTTTTGTTGTATATAACTTGAGGACTATCTTTATAATTTTATCCATTTTTATTTTTGCATGAAATTAACTCTGTGTACAGTATACTTCTTTATTCTATTAAAATAATATTACTCATAATTAAATTAACTTTGTAAAGTTATTATTTTTAAGGTTCATATATAAAATAATCTTTTTCTAAAACAAAATTGGATTCTTTGATTGGACATATCAATCCTTTGTTTGGTGTAAAATGAAGGTTGCACTGTATCCAGCATTCTAGGCGATGGCTTGTCATCATGGGCTATTTATGGTAGAGCATGTTGACCGCTTCACTTATTTGGAAAGTACCATCAGCCTCAACGCCAACGAGTTGATCTCTGACGAAATCTTAGCACGAATACAGAGGGATAGTTTCGCATAGACCAGTTTACACTGTCTCTGGCGTAGACGTGATATCCAGCTGGCTGTTGACCAAAGGGTGTGTGTACTGCTCAGCAGTCCTCTCCGTCCACCTTTATGGCTAGCTGTGAGATCTGGCCATTGAGAGTGGAAGACATGAAAAGATTAGCTGTCTTTGATCATAGGTGCCTGCTCTGTATCTCCCGTGTGCATTAGGTGGTATAATAAGGTGAGCAATATTGAGGTTAGGCGTCGAGTGCTAGGTAGGTGGGAGGGGAAATCAATCGACGAGGCTGTGAAATTACATCGACTGAGATGGTTAGGACATGTGTTACATATGCCTAGTCATCGCCTTCCTCGATGGGCAATGTTAGCTGATATAGAGTCAGGCTGGAAAAGAGCCAGCGGCGGTCAAACCAAAACATGGCACCAGTCAATGAAATCTACAACAGTTAGTTTAAGTCACGTAGGGAGGTATAGACTGACTGTCTGGTTGAGGTCATCCAGATGGTAAAAAGCAATGGTTGGAAACAATTGGTGATATGGCTCAAAATCGTTCTCAATGGCTGGTGAAGATGCATCCGCTTCCTGGGATTTATGATTTCCAATGAAACTATATTGTTCTTCGTTATTACTATTCCTTCGTCTCACACCTTTATTTACTGTCTCTGTTATGCTTTTCTTGTACTTTCTTCTCTTGCTTTGTGTGCTACAAGGAGGGAGTTTGGCGACTTGAACTGCCGCACATATGTGCAAAGTTCTATGTCGAAAACAGACAGACAGATTCTGAATTGTTTTTTGTTAAGATGGTTGGAGACAGTCGGAAGAAAGGTTTATCCGACCAAGGTTTTGTGATTACTGCTGCTTATCAGCAAGATGTATATATCTGTGATCTTTAAGGAATTTATTTCCATCCCCATCCATTGGGAGGTCCAAAACTGGGGCACTCAGTAATGCAGTGTCACAGAGGTTGCCGCTGAGCTATTTGGGCTTGCGATTAACCTCCAGTAGGACTGTAATAGATACTTTTATCAGACACTAAGTATTAACTAATGTCATACGCTTAGTGCTTGGTGTTGTGCAGTGCTACCCCACTGTGCTAGATGGTTCAACATCATGGTGCACGGTTATATTCCAATTGTATTATATTGCATGTTAAACATTATTGACTGGTTGGTAGGTGGTTATTCTAATCTGATCTGAATAAATTCGGTTTTCAAAGGAAACTGGGATGAAATGTCATCTGGAATTTTGTAAAATGTAAACTGAGAGTTTACGTGCACATGTATGGGCGTGTGTATGTGTATATATGTGTGTGCGACTTAGATCCTAGCATACAGACCCGTTGAGGATTGTTGTCTTATCCTAAGTTAAAATTCTTACGATATCTTTGTAGTCAACCGAAGGGTATTCAATGATATGAATATTTAGGGGATAGGATACCAGACAGTGGGATTCAGGTAACTATAGTACACAGTGACTGGATGGAATTTCAGGGATTAATATTAATGTGCTTTGGTACATGCAGATATGGATAACCTCTGTTGTGTTTTGTTTATGTCACACATCTGCCACAATATGATGCATTATGAAAAAAAACTATGGAGTCTATGGAGTGGTAACTGGCCTGAGTTTCGTTGGCATACATTTCATAGGGCTGTAGATTGTCATTCCTCTGCTCTACTGGCTTAGCGATTGGAGACTATGCAATTAAACGATTAGTTGGAGTTACTGACAAACTGGTCAAATCGGTTTTTCCACATATTTTATAACCCTGGAGTAAGAGAGTGCCAGGACAGAGTTCGGTATAAGATAGTTCATGTTCTGCTCTAAATCACGTTCTCTTTTCAGTCTCAATTTTTAGTTTAGATATATTAATATCCAAAAAGGAGCTAAATATCAAAGAAGGTTTGTTCTTACTACACAAGAAGGCAATACAACCGTCTAGTTGTCGAACTAACACTCATTGTTTTAACAACCCAATTCTTGTCAACGAAATTCAATAATATATGCTTCAAATTCTGCCGGTCCTCTGTTATATCAATTCTAGGGTATTATTATTATTATTATTGTATCCTTTAGTTCCTAGAGGAACATAGGGCTTCAGCTGCGCACCTCCATTGTCTTCGGTTTTCTGACAACTTTTTCACCCTGCTCCAGGTATGTCCACATGCTTTCATCTCCTCCTCGCATGACCTCCTCCAAGTCACCCTCGCACTGACGACCAACTCGCCGCCTCCCTTTCGGGTTCCACTCGAGGGCTTGTCTAGTGATGTCACTTGATGGTTTCCTCAGCGTATGGCCAATCCATCTCCATTTCTTTCTGCCTATTTGTTTCACAATCGGTTCCTGATTGGTTCGCTCCCAGAGATCCCTGTTGCTGATTTTTTCTGGCCGGCCATCTGATCTTGAGTATTGAGCGAAGACAACTGTTAATGAAGGTCTGAAGTTTGCTTGAGATGCTCTTTATGACTCGCCAAGTCTCTGATCCGTATAGTAAGTGGCACTGACTTTACATTGGAGTTGAAAATCCGGATCTTATTTTTGATGCTGATTGCTGTTGACCTCCACACAGATTTGAGAGTAATGAAAGCTTGTCTTGCTTTTCCGATTCTGGCTTTGATGTCCTCATCAGTTCCGCCTGTAGTTGAGACGATGCTTCCCAGGTAGGTGAAGGAGGTTGTTTCTTTCAGGTTCTTCCCACTTATGCTGATTGTTGTCTGTTGTTGTTGTTGCTGTTGATGTTGGCTAGGAATCTTCATCATCTCTGTTTTATCTATGTTCACTCGAAGTCCTATCTTTGATGCTTCTTCTGCCAACTTGTTGCTTTTCACTTGCATATCTTCCAATTTATGGGAAATCAGACATATATCATCGGCGAAATCCAGATCCTCCAAGTCTTTTGTGTCAGTCCATTTTATGCCTGTTCCCTCGTTGGTTGCCGTTGTCTGTCGCATTATCCAATCAATTGCAATCAGGAAGATCATTGGTGATAGTAGACAGTCTTGCATCACTCCCGTCCTGAGAATAACTGATTACAGTTGTAGAAAAGAGCGTTTTTCCGTATATCTTGTGCTTCATTTAGACGTTAGTTAGGCAGCAGTAATACCACTGGAATAAAATCAGCGACATCCAATTTGAAACTGCAAAACATTTTAAATTACTGTAAGAATGGCTGAAAATTAAGGGGTATTCAACTCATGATTTGTCCTAATATTGGATTATTTAGTGCGTGCTATGTACCACCAGGCCTCTACGAAACTGATTTTTAGAATATCGGGTGTTATAGAGGCTATCAAGGAATAAAATTCTGATTTTCAAAACTAATGCCAAATTAGAGCTTCTAGATAGTACAGAGGGTTCGGGTATCATGAAAAGCACTTTGGCCAAGGTACTTCATACCTTGTCAACAGCTGATTTCTTTCGATAATGAAGATAAAACGGCGGGAAAGAGTTAACAATAAGGAATTCTAGAAATGAACCATCTAATAACTTGTTACCCAGTAAATGTGCCCACGAAAATGGAGATGGATTAAGTATACGTTAAGGAGGTTGTTGAGTGACACGGTCTATTAGGCCCTCTAATGGAACCTTAATGGCTGATAACAAGTTGGACAGTGGTCGGAGTGTGGCATTGAGGAGATCATGTGGGAAGGGAATTAAGGCTTATGGGAAATTGTGAAGCCACTTTAAAAGGACTGCAGAGAGCAGAGTAAAGCAGAAATACACTTCTGAAGCCCTATGTTCCACTTGAAACTCAAGGTAACAATGATAAATAATGATCATAATATAGGGGCTGTCTGTCGATTGGATGGAGACCTAGTTTCTCATAATCGTCAGCTTCTATAGACTCCAGGTGCATATCAAATGACAACCAGTGAGCGACTATATTTCAACTTGACATAACTGACAGGTTCTAAAATAAAGAGAAGTGAGTATCTAGTACCCATTCGTCTCCGTTAGATTTTTCTATTCGTTTGCATCCCAAGTGGAAACATGGAGCTTCAGTCTCCAAACTTTGAAGTTTCAGCAGTGGTAGTACTTTATTTGTATATGACGGAATCGCTGGTCTTATGCCCAACTCCCGCCCTCCCTCTTCTCCAAGCTTACTACCGGTTAGGTTAAGTTTATGAGTAGTACGTCAGTCAAGAAATGAGTCCTGGGTCACATATGCGGCTGGTGAGCATTCGGCTTCTGAATCACCAGCATATCACTAATTTTGGTAGTGATTTTGATTTATAGCCCTTAATATTAGCTAAAAGTAATTTGATTTTCACGAAAATGATCACATGAGTACTTGTCATGTGTCTTAATCTAAAACGTAACAGAGCATAAAGGGTCAAAGTTGAATCAATATAGATCAGATTATTTATTCAGGGATTGAAGAAGCCGATAAGAGATTAGGTAACAAAGAAGAGGAGAAATATTATTATGTAAAATAACGTATGGTTTTAAAATTGACTTACCAAGACATGTTCAGTGTAATAACAAACAGCACTGTGAATGTATAAAACATGTTTAGGTTTCTTTATGGCCACAAATTCAATACATTTAACTATACGACATGAACCTGTTTAATATATGGGTTTTGAAAGTACTATTAGGTTTAACTTTGTGACCTATTCCTTTAAAATGCTTTGTGATAGATAACTTTTAGGGATCTATTTCCACGGTCAGTTGAATAAAATGATTTCATCATGAGCTGATATTGGTTAGAGAACCATTGGAAAACCTGGGAGTACTGGACAACTGTTTCCTCCATCCTAGTTTGGAAATCTTCAGCAGTACGCACCCACCGGTATTCGAA